GAACCTCGGCTTCGACGAGGGCGACGACAAGCAGGCGGTCTTCCTGAATCGGGTCATCGAGGTCAGTGAGGGAGTTCCGCCCGGCGGTGGCCGACCCTGCCGGCATGCGATGATCGAGCCGGACAAGCGGCACGCAGAGATCGTGATCGACGAGCTGGGTCTCAGCAAGGCCAACGGCGTGGACACGCCGATGGAGAAGCGCAGCGCCGACAAGCAGATGATGGACGCGAAGTCGGCGGCGCTGGGAACGGCGGAAGCTTCGCGCTTCCGATCCCTCACCATGAGGGTAGCCTACCTGTCTCAGGACAGGCTGGACTTGGCAGAGGCATCGAAGACGCTCGCCAGGTCCATGCAGACGCCGACGGAGGCGAGTTGGCTCATGCTCAAGAGGGTTGGCCGCTACCTTAAGCGGCATCCCAGTACGGTGACGGTCTTCACGGAGCAGAAGATGTTCGACAAGATCCGAGTGTACGTGGACTCCGATCATGCGGGCTGCGCAGTCACTCGGAAAAGTACCGGAGGCTTCGTGGCGATGCTGGGGCATCACGTCATCAAGCACGGCAGTAATCTTCAGTCGACGGTCTCTCTGAGCAGTGGGGAGAGCGAGTACTACGCCCTGGTGAAGGGCGGGAGCGTGGGCCTGGGTCTACACAGCCTCTTCGCAGATTGGGGGCTGGACCTGAAGGTGGAGCTCGCCTCAGACTCATCGGCGGCCCGGGGCCACGTCCAACGGCGAGGTCTCGGGAAGATGCGACATGTTCAATCCCGATACCTGTGGATCCAGGAGCGCGTGGGCAAGGGCGACCTCTCGATCGCCGCGGTTCCTGGTAAGAACAATGTCGCGGACGTGCTGACCAAGAGCGTGGGTGGATCTCTCTTGAGGAGACACATGGCGACGCTCAACATCTGGGATCGGGCACCGAGTTCGACCCAGAAGGATATCAAGTGAAGGAGTGGATCGAATCCATGCTCCGCTACCTGTGGGGCTGGATGAGTTTCCGCCGGTGGCGGTATGATCGCACCGGACGGGTGAAGTGAGGGGCTCGCGGCATGGCCGCAGCCTGGCTGACGAGATGGGCGCGTCGGCTTGGACGCGCCCGCGTGTGACGTGGAGATGGGCGTGTCGGCTTGGACGCGCCCGCGTACGACGTATGTCGTGCCTGGCCGGGTTGGCGGCCAGGCCCGAGGAGGAGTGATTCTGACACCCTCCTCCGTGTACCTATTTTGGCTCAAGATGAAAAGAGATCTTGTTGCTAATCAACACATTATCTCATCACGGGGGCCGAAATGTATCCATATCCACCGCCCACTGGGGCACCAGGACGTCGGTTCCCAGGCGGTGGGTATGGATAAATCCCCGCCTCGCAGGTTCGATTGCGCCGACCTTCGCGCGCGAGTTTCCCGCGCGAGGTCGCGCGTAAGCGCCCTCCCTCGCCAGCGTAGCGTGCCTCGCTGGCGGCCCGCGCAGGCCGCGGCGCACGGTCGCCACGTCGTATGTCGCGTGAGGCCCTCTCTTCTGGCCGTCGCGCTCGGCCGGGAGCGCCCGACTGCCGCAAAAGTTGCCGTCGCACGGCAGCACGGCCCCGAACGGGGCGGTGGGTCCAGGGGCGCCCCGCAACGGTCGTGGGGAAGCCTCGGCAGGCGAGAGGCGCCAGAGGTCGCGAAGCAGAGGCGAAGGCTTGCGGTCGAGCAGCTGCTCGAGGAGCCTGCTCCCGAGGAGCCGGGCCGGCGTTTCGCGGCCAGGTCTTGCCTGGAAGCTGGCCCCAGTTTCCTGCGCACCTGCGCCCCTCCAGCGTCAGGAGCAGGAGCTGGCCCAGGCGTGTTTTGAGGCAGGCCTGGGAAGCTGGCCGAGAGTTGTGAAACTATGATTTGTGTTGGTCACAGTTTCGGCTGTACTCGAACCAATGCTGGCACACCTGTTCAGCCGCGTGTGGCCGAGGCGCCAGTAGCAGCGAGGCCAGCATTGCGTGTGCCGTGCAGCGTCGTCTAGTCAGCGTTCGTTTCGAAGGACAGGTGGAGGAGGAGTAGGAGGAGCAACAGGCAGGGGTGGCGTGACCCGATTGAATCTGACACATTGAATGACGCGAAGAAGAAGAAGAAGAAGAAGAAGAAGAAGACAGGCTGGCAGGTGTGTTAAACGGAACCAGTCGTGCACAGACCCGTCGCCCCCCAAGGGAGCGGCATCGGAGAAGCGCCCTCGGTCGCGACAGCAAACTCCGTTCTCGTCGCCCCCTGGACACCCCACGTCACAGTTTTGCTCGTGATGTAGGCCCCCTGGGATCTCGACCGCTTCCCCTGAGACCTTTTTGTTCGTCTAAATGCTTCGACTGTCCCAGGGCCCGAAGCGTGACCAAATTGAGGGAGAAGAGGGGGAGAGGGGGAGGTGGGAGGAAGGAGGGCGGAGGGCCGCTGCGTCTTCGTTAGTGTTCGGTTTGGCGGTCGCTTCGGATGGCCTGGGGTTTTGCTCTCGGATGTGTCTCCAGAAGGAGGGGGAGGGGGGAAACTGGCCGCCTTGATCCTTGTTTGGCTCCAGGATCTGAGGCTGCTGTGGCATTGGCCCGCCGTGAAGGAGAGGGCCCCAGGGCGCTGCCTGGGACCAGCTCCCCACCCTGGACCGGTCCTTGACGGCTTGGGCTTGGCATCGCTCGGACGTGTGCATTTTTCCTTCGGCGAGGACCATCGAGGAGCATCCTTGAACATTTGGCGAAAAAAACACTTACGAAACCGAAAAAAACACAGGGAATGGACGTCCAAGCGATGACAGGTGGGGTCCCGCAGCGGCGAAGACTGTTCAGGACCTCTGTCCGCCAGGACGTGCTTCTTTCGTGCGTGTGCTCTGTGCATGTGGCGGGTCGGTGGCAGCGATGCTGTTGGCTCGTGCGTACCGTACAAGATTCGGGGGTGGACAGACCTCTTACCCTGACACGTCGATTAAGGAATTGGCCGTTTTCGGTTCGCGAGAGGGCGTCGCGGCCGTCATTTTTGCGGGTCCAGGTCCGTCGGTTTCGGTCCCAGGCCGTTTTCGCTAAGGGGAGGTCTACTAAAGGGAGTTTGTCCGCCGCCGAAAGATGCCCTGGAGCGGGGAGGATGAGGAGTGCGTTGGACTCGTCGGGGTCCTGTCGCTTGCGTGCCTCAAGGTTTCGGAAAGGGTGCCAGCTGGCATCCGAGCACAAAGTGTGAGGATGGCAACAGAAAAAACTGCCAAACGAAAGGGAGGAGGAGGAGGAGGAGGAGGAGGAGGAGGCGAGGAGGAGAAGGAGGAGGAGGAGGAGGAGGAGGAGCTGTCCGTCTCGATGTGCTGTGGGTCGCCAGGATTCGGGGCTCTGGCATTGTCGTGCCTCTTCGTACTGTCTGGGCCGCCCGTGGCCTTCGGCGCATGCCGCTACCGTGCCCAGGTTGAGGCCCCGAGGCCTCGTGGATGCCTGCGGGGATCTCTTGGGAGGCCTCTCGGAAGTCTCTCGGAGGCGGCGTTGGGAGGGTTCTTGGGCCCCTCGGCGGCCTCTCGGGGGCCTCTTGGGGACGTCCTGGGTCCTGGTTTGGGCCTCTGGGGGGGGCTGCTTGGGGTCCTGCTGGGGGGTTCGGGGGTCATCCAATGGGCGGCGAAGGGCTCGAAGAGTCGGTTCGTGTTCCCCCTCTGGGGCCTCTCGTGGGACCCTCTTGGACCGTCCTGGGAGCCTCTTTGGCCGCTTGGGGTACCTCTTGAGCCGTCTTGGGGACGTCTTGGGGGCCTATTTCGGGGCGATCTTGGAGGCCTTTTGGGCCGTCTTGGAGCGTCGGGGCGCCGAAATCGCGACGACGCTAACATCTTCAAAACAACACAGGACATTCAATGAGTCGTGCCTACTGGGAGGGCTCTTGGTGCTCTCCTGGGGCATCTTGGGGGAAGTTGTGTTTGGAACATCCGTGTTGCGAAACCATGTGTTCCCACATGCTTTTTGGACACTCGGTTTTGACATTCATACGAAACCGAAGGTTGTTTGCAGGATTTCGGCATGCGCGCGCGACGACGCGCGCGTGCGCACCTCGTCTCATAATGTTGCAAGGGATTTTCGGAAATTGCTGATGTTTGATAAACGAGCGCGCGCATATTATTTTGCAAAGGATGGCGGGGGGGGGGCGATACCGACCCCCTCTGGGATGGTGCGAAGTCGTAGTTAGGATGGACGATGGGGCAGAATCATATGTAAGTTGCAATACGAAAAGGGGTACCGATAAGTTCGGGGGGGGGCAGAGTCTGTAATTCCTTTTCCAAGAGGATCGCCTAGGTTGTGCAATATATGTTGTGGAACCTGCGTGGTGCTACATACGATGATGTACAGTGTGCGTATTGCAGTATAGGTTGTGCAACCAACGTGGTGCAGTATATGTGGTTGTGCAGTTAATGTTGTGCAACATGTTCTGCGAGCCATCATAATCCGCGCCGCAGGCGCGTTTCCTGTTTTCGTGCTGCTTACGTGGTGCAATCCAACGGCGACGACGAGGCGGCAACGGGCGGCGACGGCTGCAACATAGCCGCCAGACCGCCACACCAGCCCCGACGACGGGCGGCGACGAGGTTGGGACGGGGCGGCGGCGGGGGGAACATAGCCGCCAGACCGAAGACACGGCCAAGACGACGGGCGGCGACGAGGCGGCGACGGGGCTGCGACGGCGGCCACGGGGCCGCCCGGCCGCAGACACGGCCCCGCTCCTTCGAGCAGAAGCCAGGAGCCATGAGTGCCAGCGCTGTTCGGGGAATCCCCGTGTCCGTGCAGTCGGCGCCTCGACGGCTGTCGTTCGAGTCGACGGCCGCCGTGTTCTGATGAGAGCGCTGTTCGCGGATGAGACCATCCTTCCCGCCGTGCTTACAGGAGGCTCACGTGGAGGGAGCCGCAGACTTCAAACCATTCTACTTCCGTTTGTCGTCATGGTGTACAGCACATGTTCTCTAGACTTCGCTCCGGCAGACGGCCCAAATAAAAATCATTTCCCGGGCCGCCCGCCCCGCCTGGGCGCCCCAGGGCGACGCGGCGACGGTGATGCAGCAGGCTCTGCGCGCCGTGCGGTACATGCCCGCGCCTCGGATATCTGCTCTCGGCGGGCCTCGGGGGAGGCATCACGACTGTGCACGGCCAGGGTGTCACGGGATCTCGGCGACGCCGATCGTGGTCACGGCCCATGTCGGCCGGCGCCAGCTCGCGAGGAGGGCACACGAATGGACAATCGCCAGGACGGACGGTGACCAAGATCGGCACCGAGGTGTCCGCAGTCAGTCTTGGTCCTGGTCCTCGTTTTCTCTTTCCCTCCAGGGAGGTCCAGGGGTGGCGCGGCTCGCCGTGGGCTGTTCCCCATGTGGGCCCGAAGCTCGCCTGGACGAACAAACGTAACTTGCCGGAGACCCGTACGGATTTCACGGTTCGGCGTGGCCCGGGTATTGCGTCGCCGCGTCATTTTTGATTGCAGTCGGTCTCTCGGCTCGGTCGGTTTAGGTTTCGTTGACGCGTCGGTCGTTTTTGGGTCTTGTTGTCGTTATGGACGCCCACGAGGTTACTTACAATGGGCTCGCGGAGGGAAGTAGCTTGCACAGATGCGCGAAGATGGAGGACCGAGAGCCGAGAACACGCACGAAAACAATGTGCCCAGTAGTACTAGATCAGGAGTTTTGAATTCTTGCGAGCGCGGACTTCCTCATCTTTCTCATCTTCACAATCGGTATCATAATCGCCACTGTCATCGTCACCATCATCATTACCATCGCCGTCATCATCAACGCCGTAGTCGTCGTCGATGTCGTCGCCCTCGTCAAATTTCTGCGCGCGCACTTCCTCACCATGCTCAACAGCACTATCGTCGTCACCATCGCCAGCGTCATCATTGCGACCGTCATCATCATCATCATCATCATCATCATCATCATCATCATCATCACCATCGGCTTCATCACCATCACCAACGTTGCCGTCGACATCGTCTCCACCGTCGTCATTAACACCAACATCGTTGTAGTCATCGTTACTGTCGCTGCCCAGCTGAGTTTTACCAACAAGTTGCGGGTGGGTGAGTGGGATGTTTGCGCGAGCGGTGGACGTGGTCAAACGCCGGTGTGGTCAAAATTGATTGCCCTACATGTGTTGGTTCTCCCAGAAGAGATTCATGTAGACTTTTCCCCCACACCTTGAGGCCAAGGCCGTCCCCCTCCTCAACGTAATGAGCTCTCACAGTTTACTGTGCACGCAGGTTGACAGTATCCATTCATCATCGCGCACCCGCCAACTCTGTCAAGCAATTCCATGCTGACCACGCGCGCGCGCATCCCCGCGCGCGCATGTTAGAGTCATCGCAAATCCGTAAGCTCCTAGGAATGTCGAGGGAGGTGTTCAAACCATATTGAAACTTGTTCTTTTTGGTCAATAAGATTGCATGTTCTCTGTGAGCGCCCTTTCCCTCACGATCCTCACCAACACCATGGCCACTAGCATCGGCGGCGTCATCATTGATATCGCCACATCCTGATCTTCACCACAATCGCCATGAGCATCACCACCGTCGTCATCGTCACCGTCGTTGTCGTCCGCCCGCCCAGATCATGGATCTGCATCAGAAGGGCCCTCGCGTCACTGCGCCACTTGAACTTTGCCAGCAGGTTGCGGGCAGAAGGGTTGGGTGTGTGGTCGAGCATTGGAGCTGGTCATGCGCGGATGTCAACCAAGATGGATAGCACCACATAGAGTACTCCGCATCGGTTGCAGCATCTTGGGTGGAAGAACTCATCGGATGGGGCTCACGCTGGCCATCACTGTTCGAGGGAGAGGGCCCCAGCGCGTTTCCCAGCATCGCGCGCGTCAGGAGATGCGCACGCTCTGAAGAGGGGTGTGCAGGGCCCATCGCTGGAGCACCGGACCAAATGTTCGAGCATGGCTGTGTTCGTGTATCGTAGAAGGCCATGCGCGCTGCATGACAGAGCATCTTGCCGTCCCGGCGCGGCGGTATCGCTGGCGGCCGAGTTCGAGCTCGAAGCCCCGCTGGTTCCGAAGAGGTTTAAGCGGTAAAAAAGAGCCGGAGCCTGCGCCCTCGTGACAAGCATTTGCTCGCGCAGGTGGCGCGCCAGGGAAGCGGCGCAGCTTCGACGAAGCAGCAGCAGCAGCAGCAGCAGGAGGGCTCTGCGACACTCGGCCCAGCCGCCGCCGTCCGGACAGGGAGTGCACGGGCGGCCTGCTGCGTGCGCTGCTGCTCCGGGCGCGCGGCCTCGACCCGCCCGCCTGGAGCGAGTGGCTTCTCGAGCGGGCGCAGGGCATGGCAGGGGTTTTGTGCGCTGCAGCGGTCCTCTCCTGCCCCGCGCAGCTGGGGTCCATGATGTGCACGTGTGCCCAGTCGCGCACGCATGCCAGGGTAAGGGACGGCCCTGCGGCTTCGGAGGTCGGCGGAGGGCGCCGTGGAAGCTCATCGCGGAGTCGGGAGATGAGCGAGGAAGAAGGGCGAGGAAGAGACAAAGCAGAGGAGCAGCAGCACGAGGCGGAGAGGTAGGGCGACGGCGGGGAAAAGGCAGGCGAATTGACCTGCCCACCGCAGGCCAGCTGATGTGGACTAATCTCGGATTGCTGTGGGAGAAAAGATCGCAGACCACCGAGGCACGAGCACAAGATTGCCCACCGCGATTTGAAGCCAGAGAACTTTCTTTTTCAGGGTGAGGACCGACGCACCGTTTGCATGCATTCCTTCTCTTCCGAACTTTGCATCAGTGTCAGTCGACATGTGTCTGGACGGCCAGAACAGTGCACGCCTTCGTTTCTATTGCAACGGACGAGGGATAGTTGCACGTGATTGTTTTCCATGGATGTGTCCATCGTGCTCGATATAGGCGTTCGACAGACGGGCTCGAGGTTGAGTGGAAACATGAGAACATGGTGGGGATAGTGCGTTAACGACTTGGACATACATGCAGACAGGCGCCTCGGATCTTGGAGCCTCTTGGGCCAGTGTTGGGTCCCAGCCCTGGGAGGCCCCTATCCGCGACAACGTCTTGAAGCTTATCGATTTTGGGCTCGCGTGCAACTTCAAGGACGGCAGGCCGATGACAACGCGCGCGGGGACTCCGTACTACGTGGCGCCGCAGGAGCTCATACCTGCTGCTCTTGCGGGCGGGAGGGGGCGCAGCGGCAGCAGCCCGTGGGCGGACAGCACACGCGCACCCACGGGCCGCGATCCCGTGGACACGGGGCGTTGTCTCACGGATACCCCGCGCGCAGCGTGTCCATGCGACCGTGTATATCCGCAGGAGCGCGCCCCGGAGTGCAGGCAGGGAGGTCGCGGATACGGACGCGTTCGCCGCTCGTGGGCAGCCCAGCGAGCAGCTCTCGGGAGGAGGGCCGAAACGGACGCGGGCTTCCAGCAGACCACGTGGCGTGACGCCCTTCGTCGGCGCAAGCGTCGGCAGTTCTGTCTCTCTGCGAGTCCCTTCGGACCCTCACGCGTCGATCCGGCTCAAGAGACGACGCCTGAAGAGACGGGGTCAAGGGTTCGGGCCGTGTTTGGCTCATTATGTCGTGATGTCTTCACGGCGTCGGATCCCGCGAGGCACTGTCGATGAGTTGATCCTGGTCATCCGCAAGCATCCGGTTTTGCCCGCCCGCCCGCTCACCCCTGCCCAGAAAGCAAATCTTGCCGATTGCACGGTCACGTGATTGGAGGTGGGGGTCCAGTGTAGAGTTCCTGGACACCTTCGTGCGGCCGAAAACTTGTGAAGCCCTGGAGGGATTCCAAGATGTCCTCTCGATTAATCATAGGCTTGCTGATGAAATTGCGCAAAGCGAAGACGCCACGTCATCCGTCATCAATGGACCCCCTCCCCACAATAATCGGGGTCCCCGTGGGAAACCGAAAAGGCTCTCCTGAGAGGCACGCGCAGTGGGCTGGGCAGGAGGATGGGGAGTCATGGGGAGGAGGAGAAGGATGAGGAGAGAGAAGGAGGAGGGGGAGGAGAAGGAAGAAGAGTAGGAGGAACGTGCCACTGTCTCTGGGGCAGTCGAAGAGCCAAATGCTGTCTGTGATGGTGTTTCTGCGGGAGTTTCCGGACAGGGAGCAGCGCGGGCATTGTCGATGTCAATTTGAATTCGAACGGATTGCGTTGTTGAAGTAAGTTTCTTGCGGTAGTCGCATCCATTGCTTGTCGAGCCCCGACCCGAGACACAGTGAGATAGTCACAGCAGTTGACCGCACAGCCACTATTAGAAAGCCACCCCATGGGAAGTGAAGGGTTTTTCAGCTTGCTCGGAAGAGAGAGAGGTAGTGGGCAGTGGCGCACGATGTAAGCGGAGGCGTGGTGGAGGACAAGTCGGACCGCCCCAGTCAAATCAATAGACGTTGTTGCCAGAGAGGAGCGCATACATCCCGACAGCGACATTGGCGCTCGCTGCACGGTGTTGACGGTGCTGCCGCCAAGGATGCCCATATAGCTTCACGTCGAGTTGTCCATTGGGCGCTAATGCGCGTGTGCGTGCTCCGTCCTGCTCGGTCGCAGCGCGCGTGCTCTCGAGAATGCTCTGTGCGCCGCGATCCGTGGACGCCGTGCCTGGACGGTGAGAGGTCCGCGACTGTCTCGTCTGTTCGCGTGGGACGCCGCATCACGCCAGGTGCTGTCGGGGAAGTACTGCCATCAATGCGACATCTGGAGCTGCGGGGCCAGCCTCTCAGAAGACCTCGCGCCTTCGATCTGGGCTCGCTCATGGATCCCCGACCCGTATCCATCGCTCCCTGCGGAGCCGACCGGTTGGGTGGTCGGTGGTTCACGTGCCCCTCGGGATTGGGCTCGTTGGATTGGAATCGTCATCAGGCCTTCCGATGAGGGGTTCTAAGGTCATCATGTTCATCATGCTGTGCGGCCCGTGCACGGGAGACCTAAAGTAAACGCCGAGAGGAGCGGAGGAAGCGTTCTTTGTCCAGGAGAAGCGGTGATTCTAGACGTTTCGCGTAAGACCACCAGCCCATCCAGAAACGATGCCCAGGCGAGTTGCCCAGATCAGGTGTGCGGGGGAGCACGCAGTGGAATAAAGGTTGAGAAGCCGTCACACCCTAAGAGGGAGAGGATGAGAACCCAGAGGAGGAGGAGGAGGAGGAGGAGGAGGAGGAGGAGGAGGAGGAGGAGGAGGAGGAGGAGGAAGGAGGAGGAGGAGGAGGAGGAGGAGGAGGAGGAGGATGGGGGACGAGGAGGAGGAGGAGGAGAGGAAGAGAGCAGGAGGAGGAGGAGGAAGAAGAGGAGGAGGAGGCGAGAGGAGGAGAAGGAGGAGGTGGAGGAGGTGGAGGAGGAGGAGGAGGAGGAGGAGAGAGGAGGAGGAGGAGGAGCAGGAGGAGGAGGAGGAGGAGGAGGAGGTGGATGGAGGAGGAGGAGGGGAGGAGGAGGAGGAGGAGGAGGAGGAGGAGGAGGAGGAGGAGGTGGATGGAGGAGGAGGAGGAGGAGGAGGAGGAGCAGGAGGATGAGGATGAAGTGGAGGAGGAGGAGGAGGAGGAGGAGGAGGAGGACCCAGCGGAGGGGAATGGGAATGGGAATAGGGCACGGGGCGCGGTCTGACAGCGCCCTGCCGCCTCGGCGGCGAAAGCCTAATTGTCCCCAGCAAAGCGAGAGCGGCGACGAGGAGCCCGAGGGTCCCACCAGACAGGTGCACCCCAGCAACGGCTCTCCCAGGAGGGACTCCTCCTCCTCCTCCGCCCCCTCCTCCTCCTTCTCCTCCTCCTCCTCTTCCTCCTCCTCCTCCTCCTCCTCCGTGGCCAAGGCCCCACCACCCCCGCAGGGGACGGAGACCAACGGGCAACCGAACGCGGCCACCAGGACCGCACCCAGGACCCCGCGGCCCGAAACGAGGCGGCCCCCAGGCCGCCCCCAGATAGACACGAGCTTTTCAGGCCGAGCCCAGCCACTGCGCGCAGCTGCTGGCCACTCAGCCCTGGCGGTCGGCACCTGCAAGACGAAGCGGCTCAAAGAACCAAACCCTGCTGTGCTTCACAAACCCGCTGGCGCGCGGCGCCTGGTCGAAGCCATCTTACCTCTGCACCTCCACGGGGCAGGCGTGCGCAACCACAGCCGCCTCGACGCCCACCAGGGCGCTGTGCTTGGCTTCCGCCTCGGCCGTCCTGGCGTGCGCCGCCTGGTTGGCCTTCACCGTGGCCTCCCAACTCCGCCTCGCCACGACGCGCAGCTCCTCGACCTTCGCCTCTTCGCTCGGCGCCTCGGCGTGGCCCCCATGAGCTGCGCCTTCAGCACCTCCGCGGTCTCCTCGGTGTACGCCTCCTCGACGCTGCCCTCGGTGTGCGGCACCGTCGGCAGCTCCGCCGTATCGGATTTTCTCTCGTCGCACGGCGCCTCGGCGCCTGCCCTTCACGAGCTGCTCCTTCAGCAACAGAGCGGTCTCCTCGATGTGCTTCCCCTCGGCGCCGCCCTTGGCGGGCGGGGCCGTCGCCAGCTCCGCCGGCTTGGGTTACACGGGGACGGCAGGGAGCACGAACGGGTCGCCCTCGCGCTCCTGCTGCTCGGCCTCCGCGTCGCGGACACCGCGACCCTCTCTGGCGCGACCTCCGACCTCCTCCAGGTCGTCCTGCGGCTCGGCGGTGAGCTCCGCGTCCACGTGGCCCGAGCCCTCGGCGTGAAGCTGGTCCCCGATGAAGTGCTCCGAGCCCGCCGTGCAGGCCCTTGACGAACTGCTTCGCTGGCAGGCCGCCCAGCGAGAAGGATCAGGCCCCCGGAGACCAGGACACGGACTAACCAGGACATTGGCAAGTCGGGGAAACGGCACCTTTTCCTGCAAAGTCAGATGTTTGGTCGTCCAGTGCAGGATTTTGTTGCCGGTCTGCAGGATGCGGGTATTTGTACGGGTCTAGGGCGTGTTTTGCATGCTCTGAGGGCCCGCGTCTGGGCTTATTCCAGAAGTGTTGCAGTGCAATTGTCGTTTAATGCCGCCGTCTGTAAAACAGAGGGGAACGAAGAGGTCCGCGCGGACCCCCCGCCCTAGCGCGCGGAGCGCGCCAGGGGCGGCGCCGGAGGCGCCGCCAAGGAGGTCCAGCGTGGATCCGCGAAATCCGCGCGGACCTCCGATGTTTAATGTTTACGTCATTGTTCGCTCCCCTAAAAACAGTTTCGAGTGATGTTGGACGTCCTGGTCTAGCGTGTCCTGGTCTACGGGGCCCTGCACCAGGAGTGGGCCTCCAGGACGGCACCATTGCCACGGAGCACCGCCAGTGGCCACACCCTGGCCACGCTCCTCCCATCCGCTGGCCCGCGCACGAAGTGCGCGCTTGTGCAGGCTTGGGGCGGCGGCCGCGGTGCGCGCCCGCCCACGTGGGCCCCAGCCAAGAGGGCTGCCCAGCGGAGGAGGAGGAGGAGGAGGAGGAGGAGGAGGAGGAGGAGGAGGAGCAGCAGGAGGAGCAGGAGGAGGAGGAGGAGGAGGAGCAGGAGCAGGAGCAGGAGGAGGAGGAGGAGGAGGAGGAGGAGGAGAGCAGGAGAGGAGGAGGAGAGGAGGAGGAGGAGGAGGAGGAGGAGGAGGAGGAGGAGGAGGAGGAGGAGGAGGAGGAGGAGGAGGAGGAGGAGGAGGAGGGGGGGCAGCAGGAGGAGGAGGAGGAGGAGGAGGAGGAGGAGGAGGATGAGGAGGAGGAGGAGGAGGAGGAGGAGGAGGGAGGAGGGAGGAGGGAGGAGGGAGGAGGGAGGAGGGAGGAGGAAGATTACGCGGATGGAGAAAAGGAAAAAGAGGAACAGGAGGAGGAGGAGGAGGAGGAGGAGGAGGGCGCACAGAAATGCCAGAGGCCTCATGGATTCTTCTCGGAGTCTCTTTGGATGCCTCTCGAGAGCTTCTTCTAGGCCTGTTGTGGCGTCTTGGGAGCCTCTTGGCGGTCCTGGGAGCCTCTTGAAGCGTCTTGGTGCCTCGGGGGAGCCTCTTGCGGTCTTTGGGGAGGTCTTTTGGAAGCCTCTTGGGGCCTCTTGGCGCCCATTTGGGGCCTCCTGGGCGCCTCTTGGGGCACTCTTGGGAGCATTGGGGGCCATCTTGGGACCAGCTTGGAGAAGTTCGATCAAAGAAGGGGAGAGGCTTAATTAGGTTCCCCCTCTGGAGTTCCAAAGTCTCCTCTTGGGGCCCGCTTGGAGCGCTCTTGGACACTCTCTGGGGCGTATTGGGCCCTTCTTGAGCCGCTCTTCAGTCCCTCTTGGGCCCTCATGGAGCCATCTTGAGGCTCGGAAAGCTATCGGAAGCGAAAGGGCGAGACGTCCAGTATCCGTAATTGTCCTTAGTCGGCCGCCTGGGAACCTCCGGAGGCTCCGAAGCCTCGTGGACCAGTCTTGGATTGGCGTGATGCCCCTTCGAGCATGCTGGGTGCCATCTGGAACGATCTTGCGGTATCTTGGGACAACTGGGAGGTCATCTTGAGCTCTCGGAAGCCCTCTTGTAGCCATCTTGAGCCCAAAACCATCTTCTGACATCTCGCTTGGCGCCCGTCCAGGTCCAGGGGGAGGGGGGAGGGGGAGGAATCGAGGCCGCCCCTTCGCCCGCAAGCCGTCTCGCTCACTCCCATCCGCTCTCCCAACACATAAGTAACTCCCGAGGGAATCTCAGCATATTGCTTACATGCGCCACGCATACCATGTGCGCAACGGTTTCCAGGTGCACTAGGCACGCTGGATGCCCAAGCGAGCCAAGCGCGCCAGTTGCGCGGCACGTGCCCCACGTTTAAGCAATATGCCGGCATCCCCGCCGTCCCTGTCAAAAACTACTGCAAAGTGGTCGCGGGGCGCCCGCGCATGCTCCAGCTGTGGAGGCAAAGTGCATTATGTGCTGTTTGTGTCACAGGGATGGTTGGCCTACGATGTCGGCACCCCCGCCCGCCGTGCCATAAACCAATGCGAAGTGGTCGCGGGGCGCCCGCGCACGCTGAAGATCTGGAGGCAAAGTGTATGCTGCATCATTTGTTGACACGGATGGCTGGCTTGCGCGCAGCGAGCCATATGACGGCACCTCCGCCGTCCCTGTCAAAAACTAATGCAAAGTGGTCGCGGGGCGCCCGCGCATGCTCCAGACGTGGAGGCAAAGTGTATTCTGGATTGTTTTGTTACAAGAATGGATGGATTGCGCGCAGCGAGCACTACGACGGCACCCCCGCTGTCCCTGTCAAAAACATGGGCAAAGTGGGCGCGGGGCGCCCGCGCATGCTCCAGATTTGGGGGCGAAGTGCATTCTGTATAGTTTGTTGACAGGGATGGGTGGGGACATGTCCCGGGTTGGCCCACAATGGGTGGGGGAGGGGGTGTACATCAATAAGTAGCATAAGTAGCAGTGATCAAGACACCCTCCACGCCCGCAAATTGTCTCGCTTACTCCCACCTGCCCTCCCAACACATAAAAGTAGCACCCGAGCCTCAGCGCGTGATGAGGAGGAGGAGGAAGAGGAGGAGACAGGGGAGGGAGGAGGAGGCAGGCGTCGCATCCAGCTCTTTCAGTCTTTGCCCTCATCTCGCACCCTTATTCTTCAAGCATTCCCTCGCCCCCATTTCCTTCCTCCGCGTTCCTTTTCTCTTCCAGTCGTATCGACCCTCCAACTAAGTGGCAAAGGGCAAAGCGATAGCAGGGAAAGCGACAGGCACCGTCTGGCGGAGACGAGTAAGGATATTCACAGCGGGGCACCAGGCTGACGTGTTTTCCTCGTCACCACGGTGACTGAGAATCTACCGCATGTTGTTACTCGTCGCCGCTTTTTTACGCTTACGTTTTGCTCGTGTTGTTTTTCCCACTGGTCATGTGAATCTACCGCCCGGCCACGTGCCAGGGTACTTCATTCTCTACACATCCTAATCGCTCGGAGACCTCTCTCGGCAGCTAGGTCACGCCAGGGTGTCATTGCTCCGCTCTTTCCTCGCGGTGCCTGTGCCCAACGCGCGCGCCCGTGACGTCATTTGCAGACGCCCCCACTCGAGGCTACCCGCCGTTCTACGGGCAGAGCGACCAGGAGGTGCTCGCCAAGGTCTTGGGCCGCAGACGATGCCCGCATCCCCTGAGACTCGGGCGTCGCAATTTGTCTCGCCGGGCGCGTTCGCCCAGTTTCTCGAAGACAAGAACACAACAAACATAACCTCCGCACGGATATTTTGGTTCGGGCCCGGTGACACCCACGGATCGGGCCAGCTCGAGAAATGCCGCAGAGTGGTGGGGCCGAAGGCTCTGGTTGACAGTCTCTACGATGTTGCATTTTATCGTAAAGTGGGATACCAGGGTCGACAGGATCCCCCTTGCCAGTTCGATACCCCTGGCCATCTAGTTGTTCCATTGCCAGTGATGGCAGCGTTGTTGTCATAGGTGACAGCCGGAGTTCGTTGATTGACTAGCAAGGATGAGGGGTGTTATTTGGATCCGCTGCGCGCTACGTGCATGCTTGTCTAAGCGGACGGTATCTTGGGCCATCAAGTGTGGGCCCGAGGTTGTTGCAGCTAGAATAAGGGTTGAGAACACCCCCAGCTTTGGAGGTGCACCCTTCTGTGTTTCGTGTGTTGGGCTCTCCATCTTGAAACTTTCTTCGTTTGGGCTATCTCCATGGGTCCTGTGGCCTTTTGCGAAGAGGTTCGTGGTCTCGCCCCGCGTTCTCGTGGCCACGTTTCGACTGCATGCCTTCGTGCACCGAAGTGCATTGAGGTAGATCTCGTCCAGCTTGAAGTGCGGAAATGTTACCTGGTTCCTGGGAGATTTGGACAGCCTGACGGGGTGGCAGCTGGAATCCCAGGGCGGGCGAGCTCCCAGACCTCGTTCTCACGAGTCACTGTTCCCTGAAGCTCTCGCCACTTCGCCGAGGCGATCTGTTCAGCGGGACCCCCTCCTCGGGGCCAGATCTTCCTTTTGAGCTGTGCTTGGGTGGGCCTGCGGCCCTGCGAGGGCTCCTGGCAGCCGAGACTTGCCACTCGACAGGCTCGGAAGTACTTCTCCCAACGCCACACCAAGGCCTCTACAGCACCCGAAAGACAAGTGAAGGCTTCCGCGCCTAACCCCGGCGGCCGCGTAAGCGGGCGCGCGGTCCAAACGCCCCACACACACACACACACACACACACACACACGCACGCACGCACGCACGCACGCACACACACACACACACACACACACACACACACACACACACACACGCACACGCACACGCACACGCACACGCACACGCACACGCACACGCACACGCAGACGCAGACGCAGACGCACAAGCACACGCACACGCACACGCACACGCACACGCACACGCACACGCACACGCACACACTCACACACGCACACACACACACAACAACAACAACAACAACAACAACAACAACAACAACAACAATTACTAGCACGTGGGGACACTCCGTTCTCACCAGTGCCAGGGTTTTCATAGGAGGCGGGCAATACCCCCACTTTGTGGGGGGGCCGGTTCAAGCTCTACCAAATTTCCAAACGACTCTTCGCCACCACCCACACCCAGCTTCCCGCCCTATGACGTTCGGACACTTCACTTCGTGGCATGCGGACGACCGTGGCTACTATTCAGGGCCCCGCGGCCGACGACGACGGCGTGCGCGCGCGAAGAAAAAACGAATGTGTCCCGCATGGTATTATTTGACAGGGATGATGGCCCTGGCAGGTGCGCAACCGTTGTTGCAGAAGTTCGAAAAAGTTGCTCGCAAAAGCCCGTTTGACAGAAATGTTTAAAAAGTGTTGGGTTTCCTACGAATCCGCAAGAGCGCGCGGGATGAAATTTTGACATTTTTTTATATATAAAAAAAAAAAACATTGGTTTTTTGATGTTTTTATGTTGAAATCGCTACGAACACTAAGGTTTTGGAAGGATTTCGTCTTGCGCGCGCGAATGTCCACTTTACCTTATTTTTTGCAAGGGATTCTTGAAGTTTGGTTATTTTAGAACAAGAAATTTCATTTTATAGTGTTTTTTGCAAGGGACAGCGGGGGGGAACAAAACAACCGGATCTGGATCACATCGTTTTACCTGAGGCTTCCTCACGAAAATGATGAAAATGCAGCTGCGGCCTAGGCGGCGCAGGGGGGGCGCGCACCAGGGGGCCCAACAATAATTATTCTTTAGAATAAATAATGTTCAACAAAAGTGCTGAACGGGCTTGCACTTGCGCGGGGGGCCCTGGGGTGATCCACTCCTTGGACTAGAAACTGATTTAGGAGAGTTAACGGAGCCTGATTTGGGCGATTCTGCGTGGGACGTCCTCGAAAATTGACTGGTTTGGCCCCTGGTTTCGTTTGAGACGTCCTCAAGACTTGCTTGGTTCGGCCCTGGGTTGGTCTGGTTTGGGCCCGGTTTCGCTTGAGATCTAAATTTTGTTGGTTCGGCCCGGTTGGGGTCCAGTTTCGCTTGGGACGTCCTCAACATTTGCCTGGTTTGGGCCCCGTTTAACTTAAGACGTCCTCAAAAATTACCTGGTTCGGCGTGGTTTGGGACAAGTTTTGTTTGAGACGGCCTCGCAAGTTGCCTCGCTTGGCCTGGGCGATGCAAAACATCCGCGAAGGTATGCGTGGTAGAGAAGCGTCCATCATGAGCGCCATGTGGTCTCAAGACAGAGTGGGACGTGTCTCGTGTTCTTCGACATTGCAGGCGTCGTGGTGGGCGTGTACAAACCGAAGTAACGGCAACGTGCCATGAATACCAGTGTGGTCCAGATTTGACACGGCTGCGCCACAAAAAGGCGGGTGGTATGGGCGTGTACATTCCCAACACGTTGTGAATCGGCATATGCGTGCGTGGCGGCTTTCGGAGAAAACCCTTCCGAGGCTGTAATAACGTCGCTTGTTTTCAAGACGCGAGGGGATCCGGGTCCCGGAGACCACGTGAAAAATCTCGGCGTCGGGGGCCTGGGGATCAAACAGTCCAACAGAGGAGGCCCGAGCCATCCGAGCCGAGTGTCATACATATGAATACATGCATTCCTTCGGAGGTCCGCGCCGATGTCTTCGGTCGGCGCTGGCCCCCTGGTGGCGCCTCCAGCGCCGCCCCTGGTGCGCTTCGCGCGCCAGGACAGGGGGTCCATCGCCGACCCAAGAAACCTCGCGGACCTGCCAAGTTTGTGCTCATTTGTGCTGCTATTCCTATGTCGTAGAGCTCTTCCCAGGGGCTGAGCTGAACAGAAATCTGGGCGCAGTGCACAGCTAGTTGACCAGCCCAGTGAGGCGAACGTTGTGGCAATTTTGGACCCTACGCTTAGAGATTCGAACATTTGATTGGGAAAGTCTGCTTTGATCGTACGCAGTAGATCACGACGCACTTACACATCTGAACCTCAGACCGTGTAACAGCATACGTATCAAAAGACGTCCCAGAACTGGCTGAATGGTCAGACTTGTGATCAGCGCATCCTGGTATTACGTTACAGTATGGTTAGTCAATGGTTTTCGTTGAGCGGTTGTTGTTCTTCTGAGTCAAAAATGTCGCTCGTCTGCATTTCTGAGACTGCCTCCTGTACACCTCGATCTGAGCTCTACGAGGTTTCTTTCCAGTGGTCGACGGTTTACCGTAAGTGTCAACTCTGTTGAGCGGTCTCTGTCGTCGGAGATCGGAGATATTTCAAGATTTAAAGATCTATTTGGAGTCAGGAAGTGACGTCCACGTCGGCAAGGCACGAGCCAGCCGCGCTTCCTCTCGGGCGTGTGCATGCGTGACGCTGCGCCGACAGAAAAGTGGACTCGCGTGACCATACGTACCCATTCTGGCACAAGGACTTTATGAGAGCTCCCCCGCAGCTCCTGGAAGCAGCTGCTATGCCGACGGTCTCTCGCGATGCCGCGCTGGGTGCTTTGGCGGGTGCAGGCACGTCCACGCTGGCATTGCTGGCACTCGTCAGGCGCTATGTGCAGAACGAGTTGACGCTGCCGACCCTGATCCACGGAGAGGAGGAGGACAGCCCCCAAGCGAGGCAGCTCCTCCTGGAGGTGCGGCTGCTGCTCCGGGACTACTGGCCCCATCCGGTGCTAGAGTTCAGCGGGTACGCCTCCAGTGCCTGGATGGGGCTCTGGGTGGCGCTGCTCGCGCACCGCCAGCACCCGGGGCGGCTGGAACAGTTGACCCTCAGGCCTCCTCTTCCTCCTCTGACCTCTGACCTCTGCAGCGTCAAGAGAAGAAAGCACAGACTGGGTAGTCGAAGGCCAGACTGTCAGATTGGATTGGGCCCCAAGGGCCAATCTGGCCCGGCCAAACTGGATGATCTGGGCTATTCGCCAGACTGGATTCGCGTTGGCTCCCTCGCCAGATCGCCCCCGTTTGCCAGATTCGGCCTGCCAGATTGGCGCCACATTGGCTTCGACTACTCCAGATTTCGTAATAAAGGGAGGGTGGTCTCATTTCGGGGGGGGTCTCTTCCAGGCTATCTTGGAGGGCCTTGGGGGGTCTGGGGACGATGTTTTGGAGGGTTCTCCCACGGGGGAGGTCTCTTGGAGGGTCCAGACCCCCTCCCTTTTATTACGAAATCTGGAGTACCCAGGTTGGGGAGGGGGGGGGCGTGATCGCAGCAGAGACGATGGCCTCCGGAGCCCTCTCTGCTCTGGAGCGGCCCCCGGTCTTCGGGCCGCCCCCGAGCGCCGGGCAGGGGGGAGCCCGCTATCGCGGCCGAGAGGCCCGCCGCGGCCAGTGGAGCCCCCTCTCGCTCCTGAGATGCCGCATGCTCTGTGGTACTTCGGGGGTGGACAGAACCCCCAGCAGCGACACGTCGATTACTCCAGATTTCGTAATAAAAGGGAGGGGGTCTCAGCCCTCCCAGACGAGAAGTTTTAGACCCCCCCCCCGTGGGAGAACCCTCCAAGACATCGTCCCCAGACCCCCCCAGGCCCTCCAAGATAGCCTGGAAGAGACCCCCCCGAAATGAGACCCCCCTCCCTTTATTACGAAATCTGGAGTAGTGAATTGTCCGTTTTCGGTTCTCGAGAGGGCGCCGCGGCCGTCATTTTCCAGGCTTGCGCCCGCCAGGTTTGGGCCTCAGGTCGCTCTCGCCAAACCACGTTTTGCTAAAGGGGGGTCTGTCCATCCCCGAGTACTGAGATGGCTGCACCCATCGGTCGTTGACAGCGGGTATTTTTGGATCTCCAGATCTCAATCTACTTCGAGCGCCCTCCGGCCTCAAGAATCGGCAGGCTTCTGCTGCGTTCGGTGACTCCCTCGGACGGGCCCGAGCCCAACCTGCTTTATCCGCTTTCCTGCTTCGTGTTGCCACCTGCTGCTTCCGACCGATGGGTGCTTGTTCAGAGGAGGCCGTCGGTGCCCCAGAGGGAAAAAGGGGCCGGTGAGCAGGCCTTGCTTGGGCACGCCCCCTCAGGGACGGCGGCACGGTCTCCCTGTGCTGGGCAGACCCGCCCGAGGAGGCGCACCACAAGCGGACCGCGGTGCTCTTCCCGGGCCTGTGCAACGACAGCCGGACCCACTTCATGGGGGCGGCCATGCGGCACCTGCGCGCCGAGGGGTTCCAGGCGGTGACCTTCAACTACCGAGGGACAGGGGGCGCGCCGCTGACTTCGCCGCGTATCGGCTCTTTCGACTCGTGGGTTGACGTTCCCGAGGTGTTGGCCCACATCGAGGCTCAGTGCCCAAGGCACGATCTCTTCGCGGTCGGCTTCTCTATGGGGTCAGCCATACTTCTTCGGCATTTGGGGGAGACGGGCACATCCTGCCGCTTCCGCGCAGCTGTGGCGATTTCGGCCGCGACGGACCTTCCACGAGTAAGCGCCTCACTGAAGTGGCCGCCGAGGAAGCTTTTCTTAAACGCTATGATGACGACTGGGCTGAAGCTTATGACAGTTGTGAATGGGGTTCACCACAGCCCACACTTCCGCCCCTTCGCAAGAAGCTTTTTCTTGGCCACCACGTTGGAAGGCATCGACGACTGTCTGACTGCCCCGATGAACGGTTACGTAAACGGCAAGGAGTTTGCAGCCCTCAACAGCCCACACCTAACCTTGCACAAGGTCGCAGTACCGACCCTCATCCTGAACGCGCGGGACGACCCTGTCACCAGTGTCAGCTGCCTGTCCCTCACCGAGATGAGGCGAAACCCGCACTTCTACGTCGTGCTCACCCGCCGCGGCGGCCACATCGGCTGGGGGACGGGGGGGCACGGCGGCTCCGTGAGCTGGACGGACAGGATGGCGGCGCATTTCCTCAAGAGCTGCGAGTCTGGCAGGACCATGGTGGACATTGCCGCGGAGGACGACCCGCATGATCCGAGCACCGCCTCGCGGGGGGCCCCGGGCACCGCGCCGTCTTCTGCGGCCCCGCGGTCCAAGTTATGACCCTCGGCGGAGCGGGATTGGTCCGGGTCAGCCCTAGCCCGGGTCAGACAGGGCCACGTCTCGAGCTTTGGCTGGCCACGAGGTCAGCAATTCCCAAACCCACCCAGTCCAACATATTACTGACCAGCAAGGCAGCGCTTCTGTTTTTTATCGTTCGGCCCCTCGAGGCCGTTGTCGAGGTCTGGGGCAATCAGAATCGGTTCATGGTTCACATGATGAATACACGGTTGAAAGGGTTGGGACTTCCTGGGAGCCAGCATCGGGTTCAAATCAAGAAATCAGATGTCTGGGAACCTGGACCAGCGAAGTGAGGAAAGGGGGGGTCGGCGCCACATGGCAGCTGCCAAACCCAGATCAGCCAGAGGCGAGCAGAGCCGATTGGACTGACCCCCGTTAGAGTTTACCCCAAGTACGGCGACCTCGACTATGTGAGCCAGGCCATCCCCTCAGGCATCTGTGTCGTGACACTATAGCAGGGGCTCAGCATCCCCACACAGCATTGACAGAGCTGAGCTGGGGTGGCCACCAGAAAATGATTCGCGCGTCCTCTGAGACATCATCGTCCTGCCCTTGATCAGCCTGCCCCCTCGTCGGGTACGGTTTCGTGGTCGTCGTTGGCCTTGTCCTCTTCTTGCTCCGCCTCGTCAACATTTTCCTTCTCGCCCTCCCCCTCTCCACCCCTCGTCCTCTTGCGCCCCCGTCCTCAGTCTTATTCATAGGCGCGGAAGGTGTAAAGATTTGTGGTGATGGGTACGCTCCACACAAAGGCAAATATTCCGCGGCAAATGGCCGCCGCAAAACTTATGCAGGTCTCCCAACGCAAGAGACTTCACCTGCTTTAGTTTGCTTTGCTTGGCTGTCACTGTCCCTGCGGTTTTCGGGCCTCGGTGTTTCGCTTGGTCGTTGCCCCTCTGACGTTGTGTGTTTTCCTCTGGCCCTCGCTCGTTCGTCTTTTTGCGGGCCCTCGTTCGGTCCCGTGCTGCCGGGAGTTGGCGTTTGACTCGAACCCACGTCCAAAACAAACACAAGGAAACAAACATAAGAAAAACACCTCCTCCTCCTCCTGCCCTTTCCACCTCTGCTGTTGTCCCTCCCTCGGCTGCCTCCTCCGCCTCCACTTTACCCGCCTGGTGTTCCTCCTCCTCCTCCTCCTCCTCCTCCTCCTCCTCCTCCTCCTCCTCCTCCTCCTCCTCCTCCTCATCATCATCATCATCATCCTTATCCTCCTCCTCCCTCCTCCTTCCTCCAAGCGCTGGACATCTGGCGACAGATCTCTCGAGCACGTCAGGCAACCTCCTCCCTCCTCCCTCCCCACCCTCCCCCTCCGCTGCCCGCGGAGGAATGGGCAGCCCGCCGTGCCCCCACGTGGGAAGAAGGAGGAGGAGGAGGAGGAGAAGGAGGAGGAGGAGGAGAAGGAGGAGGACGAGAAGGAGGACGAGGCGAGGAGGAGGAGGAGGAGGAGAGGAGGAGGGAGGAGGAGGAGGAGAAGGAGGAGGGAGGAGGAGGAGGAGGAGGAGGAGGAGGAGGACCCCTCGCTGGCACTCTCCGCCCCCCATGTGCGGCTCGCGGGCGTGCGCGGCGGTCCTCTGCGGCACCGCGCCCCCCCCCCTCCCCCCCTCTGCTGGCTGCTGGGAGGGGGGGGAGCGCCGGCCGCAGCACCCGCGCCGATCCTCCGAGGCGGAAAAGGCACCCAGCCGCTAGGCCCCTCCTTCCTCCCTCCTCCTCTTCCTCCTCCCACCTCCATACTTCCCTCCCTTCCTCCTCGCTCCCTCCTCTCCCTCTTCCTCCTCCCTCCTCCTCCTCCTCCCTCCCTCCTCCTCCTCCTCCTCCTCCCTCGTCCTCATCCTCATCCTCATCCTCCTCATCCTCCCTTTCCTCCTCCTCCTCCTCCTCCTCCTCCTTCTCCTCCTCCTCCTACTTTCCCGTTTTCGCCCTTTGGGGGCCTCCTGGGGGGCCCTCGTCGCCACCGCTGGCTTAGCCTCAAGGTATGGTCAGAGCGCGCCCGGGAGAGGCCCAGGGAGTAGCGGGATCGGTATTTTCTGGTTCCCCCCCGATCACGGCCGGGCCGATCTTCCGAATCCAACAGGCCGCAAGCCATGCTTTGGCCGCGGCGCCAGCGATCGCCAGCGCGTTCGGAAAGATCCCGCGGGCCGCGCCAGGCCATGGGCACACTGCGACGGGTGGAGAGAAGAGGGCGGCCCAAAAGGGCGTAGGCCTTGGACGTAGAGAGTCGATCGCAGAAGAACAGGTTTCATAAACATAAACTGTTGGCGCTCCGCGCGGATTTCTTGGATACGCGCTGGGCCTCCCCTGGCGGCGCCTCCGGCGCCGCCCCTGGCGCGCTCCGCGCGCCAGGGAGGGGGGCCCGGCCCAGCGCAGATCCAAGGAATCCGCGCGGAGCGCCAAACATTTATGTGTTTGCAGCTTGTTGTTATTCGTATTATTACTACAACTTTTCTTATTATTATTACTATTATTATTATTATTAGTATTATTATTATTCGTTGTATTATGATCCTTCTTCTTCTTCTTATTCTTCTTCTTATTCTCCTAGTCTACGTCTGAAGGAGCGCGCAACCAGCCTCATGCACAAGGAGCAAGTGTACAAAGCAAACCACAAAACACCACGGGCCTTCTTGGTTCAGTTTTCGGTATCCATCCCAGGAGGAGAAGATACCGATACCGCTACCTGTTCCTTGTCGCTACGGCACGGCTGGACTCGCCTTGAGATTTTGGTCAGAGCGCACCCTGGGAGAGGTTCGAGGACTAGCAGTATCGTTATTTCTTGCCCTTTCCCAATCCAGGGTCCTTGGCCAGGCCATTGCCTGTCAATAAACGACTCAGAATGAACAGCCAGCCCCAGGGAATGGGTCTGAATTTCGGTAGCCGACATTGTCTAACAAGTCGCGACGCCTGGGGTCTGGGACTACCAGGAACGGAGACGCAAATCTCAACATTACTACACACATTTGTTCTCCAGCGCGACAATGGGTCGCAATCACCTGAAGCAGTGTGACGCGTCTCTCTGACGTCGAATTTGATAGACCACGGAAGCATGTGCAAGCCTATTGGTCACAAGATAGGAAAATGCAGGCGCAGAAAAATAAACAATCATGAAAGGGTGGTGCAGGAAGATGGGCTCGGGAGGCGAACAAGGCAAGAACATGTCACACACAGTCAAACACGATTACACGTGAGCGAAATGCTGGCGACTGCCATACAGGCCTCTCCTCTCCCAGCTCCTCTTCCTCGGATCAAGAACGTGCGCGCACAAGCAGGATAAGATGCGTCCTGACGCGCACCCCACCAGAGCCGCCACCAAGTCGCCACGAGGACCCTGCCAGGAACCTTGGTGAGCCCCTGAGCACCAGAGCGCCCAGAAATAGCACGACCAGAACACTACGAGGATGCCGCCCGGGCCACGCCACGACCTTGGTTCAAGTCGGGCATGCCCCCTCTACAGGAGGCAGGTTCGAGAAGGCGTTCGTTCGATCGGCCGAGCTGTCGCTCGCTGCTGCGCGGTGGCCCAGGCTGGCCGTGGCCCCAGGGCGCCCCCGTCCGTGCCTCTGCTCGGCGCCCCTCGCGGGTCCCGAGGAGGAGGAGGCGCTGAGGCGGAGACCCGTGCCAGGAGGCACCCTGCTCTTGGCATCGCTCGGACGTGTGCATTGTTTTCTCGGCGCGGACCATCGCTGAGCATCCTGGATCATCCTGCGGAAGAGAGCACACGCGAAGCCGACAAATGCACGGGGAATGAGCGTCCGAGCGATGGAAAGTGGTTGCCTCAAGTCGGGCACGTCCGTCGACAGGAGGAAGATTCAAGAATAGTCGAAAAATAGCCTGGGACAATGTTTGTTTCTGTTTTCTTGTTGGGCAGATGTTCTGACCATGTTTCATCTTTCTTCAAAAATCCGCCTGTTAGAGGACATGCCCGACCTAATGCTTGCCTCCAGGGTGCCCTGGGCTTGTTGGGCTTCGATGGTCTCGCCATACGGAAAACGCGACGCCCCCACACCAACAAAAAGCAATGGACGTCCTGGGGTCTCTGGGCTGGGTTTCGTGTGGAAGGTTTCTTTGGACGAGCTCCTGCTGTACCCACACCGCTGCTCTGTCCCTCGCCGCCACGGCTGGACTCGCCTCCAAGTCCTGGTCGGAACGCACCCCAGGAGAGGGCCACGCAGCGGCGGCGTCGGCATCCTTTTACTTATATTCCCTCAGCGGTATAGCGCCATGCAGTCAGCACGCTGAGCTCAGGGCCGATTTGAGCTCAGGAGGGGCTCGGCTTTTCGGACCGGCTCCTCCCCAGATGTGCGTCAGTGAAGCCTGCCTGTGGCCCACAGGCCCGCCGTGGCCAGAACAGCCCCTGCTTTGGCGGCGCGCACACGGGGGGGGGGGGGGAGGGGAGAGGGCTTCCTAGAAGCGCCCCTGCTTCTTAGAAGCCGCGGGCCTTCTGTATAGATCTAAGGCTGGCGCCTTCTAAGAAGCAGCCTCCTCCTAAGAAGCCCTCCCCCCTCCCTCCACCCCCTTGCGCGCGCCGCCAACTGCTTCCTCACAGGGCAAAACTCGCACGGGAAGGACGATCTCGGCTTCCCATGGGGGTGCCCCGGCGGCCTTCCCCCGTGGCCCATCTCCCTGACCGCGTTCTCGCGGGCCGCGACCCCCGCCCGCAGGGTGCCGAGCGGGCCTCCCAGGGCCCCTGCATCCTCACCCGCGCGTCCTGAAGATACGGGTTGACTGTATAAGGCGTTCCAGAAAAGGCCTCGAAGGCGATTCTCGATCCTCGATCGAGGATCGCCTTCGAGGCGTACATAACTCCTTCGATCCTCGAAGGCAATCCTCGAAGGCTTTGCCTTCGAGGATCGAAGGAGTTGTCATCTCCTCCGCGGCGGAAGGGCGGCGGCAGGGCGGCAGGAGGCCAGCAGAGGTATAAGACGAGAGGCCGCCTCCGCTGGCGGAGGGCCGGCGGCAGGCGGCGGAAGGAGAGGGTGCGCCCCCCCAGGGGTGAAAACGTTTTCGGGCTCGGGGTTTCCGAACTCGGCCGCGTAATGATTGCATCGCTCCCCCCTCGTCCAGGCGGCCTCACCGCCCACCAAACCACCCCAACCCAACCCGAAGGCTTCGACTTGCCCTCCATTCCCAGTTTGGGGGGGGGATGCGGGGAACATTGAAAAAAAAAACATGGGGCCCGTATCCCCCCCCAACCCGAAATTCGGGTCAAATTCGGGTCTTCGGGTTGGGTTGGGGTGGTGTGGTAACCAGGTAGTCGTCCACGGGGCCCCCGCGAGGCCCTATCGGAGGGTGCCCGGCCGAAGTCGCCCGAGCGGCGGCGGCCGCCGCGGGAGCTTCGCGGGCGAGCGAGCGAGCGGGGCGGCCTGCGCGGGCGCGCGGGGGAGGCGCGGGGGCGGTGCCGCGCGCAGCGCCGCGGAGGCTGCCAGAAGGAGTCGTTGGGACGGTTGATAATGGAGGATGACGATTAATAAATGACCAGGGGTCGTGTTCACGCGGCGGCGCCCGGGATGACGATTAGAAAAACCGGCCGCGGGTTGGACAACTATTTTTTTATCGTTCTCTTCCAGTCCGAAAATTGTGCAGAAATGGCAGGACACTTTTTAAAAATCGTTCTCCCACATTTTTTGTTAATCGTCATCC